GCATTGTGTAATCACACGCTTCCTCAGGGGACATGCTTGTATAAACCCTCAAGTCCCCTCCCTGTCAGAAGGGAACTCAGACTCATTGCCCACGTCTCCTCTTCCCATCCTTGGCTTAATGCATACCTCTCAAATCTTTCAATATATGCATCCATATCGTCATGAACTTCGTCAAATCTCGGAAGTTTAGGATGAGTCGTTCTACCAGGCCCTTCTACTGACGGTCTGGTTAATCTTATTCTTTCTCCCTCTAACTCTTTTCTTCAACTGCAACTCGTGTTGCATTTCATGTAACCTTCTCTCTTCTTCTCTCCTAAGTTTCCTTTCCTCTCTGTCAAGGAACTCTGCTTCTTTTTCTTTAATGAATGCCGCTAGGCTTTCCCCTTTTAAAACCTAGTCTCTCCCCAACCTAATTTCCACTCGTCGTAGTTCATGTTACCTTTTTACGTTAACCTTTTTTATAGTAGATCCCGGACGAGCCCCCAATTTGTCAGACGTTAGTCTGAGTGGGTCCACTAACTAAGGTGACTTTGTCTTATTAACAAAGGAACTTGCTAGACAGAGTAATAAACGTCTTCCTTGTGCTTCTGTACTTGCTGCGCTTCTAGACTTGCTGCACGTTTGGACTTGCTGCACTCCTGGACTTGCTACGCTTTTGGACTTGCTGCGCTTCCTCAACTTGCTGCGCTTTTGGACTTGCTGCGCTTCTTAGACTTGCTGCGCTTCCTGGACTTGCTTCACCACTTCTGCAGAAAACTCTAAGACAATACTGAAAGGTCCTTATTCGGGAACTAAGTTTTTTTTTTATTTTTCTGATCTTCTATTAATGAACATCAGGTCTCTTTATTTGTCTCAATATATATAGCAACGGCACGAACCTGATAGAAAACAATTGACGTGACGTCACAATATAATCGACGTCGCAGTAAAATAAAACAAAAGTGTGTTTCTTTTGACGCACTAAAATACTTATAACTTGAGTTTAAAAAAACCTATCAACATGAAATAAAGTGCAAATTAAAATTTAGCTAAATATCTAAAAACTGATTTAAAAATGAATTGAATCAGATTCGTGCTGCTGAAACAAACATAAAATAAAACGATAAAAATACTTAAAAAAATACAATCTTGACACATTTAACTTAAAAGCTCTGCTTACATGTATTACAAGTTGATACAAATATTGCAAGTTGATAAAAATATAGCTTACTTAATTCACGTAAATACTTAGTAATTAGCTAAATGGTATTTTAGTGATATGGATCGTTTTATACCTTTGACAATAGCATTCTGGCGATTCATAAAGGGAACAATTTCTCTAAACCTGAAACCATCCCTATCTAGTTGTTTTGTCTGCTTCCTTTACTCTCAGTGGGCTTGACATTTATACATTTTTATATTTTGTTCTTGTTTCTTAAGATTTGAAATATTAAAAAAGAAATTCTAAAAAAATGAACACACGGAACATGTTCAAAATTATCCATTACATTATGTGACAACAATATAATTGCATATTTGGATGTCTATCACTGCCATATAATGTTCCAAAGCAACATGTTTTTTTCCAAAGTGTAATTATTAATACCTGTGTATTCTTTTTATTTGGATAAACCATGTAGTTTAAAACTATGTTAAAGATTACCTTTTGACTGATTTAGATTCTGGTATATATAGGTTTGTTATTATATATGCCATTTTTGAAGAAGACAAGACAAAGAAACCGCAGCTATAAAATATATGGAATATTAACCCACCATGTGTAAATGAATATGGTGATCATGTGTTCATAAGTATGGTGGCTGATTCGCGCGATTCGTGATTTCAACCTGCAACACCGCCAATCGAAAAGCCGAGAATTGACAAGATAAGTGACGGGGGCGCGGAGCGAAAACACGCAATTTAGCGGAGGTGCAGGGCGATGTTTAATAGGTAAAACGTCACCCTGCGGGGGCGAGAGCGATATTTTTTAAATTAAAGGTGGGAAGACGCCGTATTAAGTTTTAATTAAGTTTATATATATAAACCTTTGCCCCGCACCCACGCTAGATAGCTGTTTACGCTCAGCACCCCTGTCATTTTAACTTGTTAATTCTCGACTTTTCGCTTAGCTGGATCGCGGGGCGAAACACAAATGGCACAAATCAGCCAACATGCATAAAGCTGAACATTCACATGTCACATAATTTTCTATAGTTAGTTAAACTAAACACAGTGAAGATCATTTGGCGACAACCAGTTTTTTTTTTTTTTTTTGATAATTCCATAATTTTGCTTGACTTTGCAATAATTGGCTAAAATAAGAATAGAAATGATAATAATACTCTTTATTTAACATTAATAGCTTATTAAGACAATACATCAAAGAAAACATATGTAATACAATATTCTATTTTTAACAATTGTAGACCTGAAAAATTTCTTATTTCTAAAGGAATAGTGTTCTATAACTTCATACTAGCATAATTTAAAGTACGTTTCAAATGATTTGTATTAGGTCGTTTATACATTTTATCTTTTTTTCTGTGATGATCTTAGTAAATACATTTTACTCTGAAGTAACAGAATAAGATCAGACATATGCTGGTGTTAATTAATTCATTGCTCCCAGAAAAATACATACACCTAGGTGGAAAAAAATAAGCATTTCAGATTTTAATACATTTTAGGAGAATTGGTTTTAACAGTTATATTTTAAAAAATTCTGGCAGTTATTTTTGTAATTTCAATATTCTTTTTTGCCTGATTTGTTATTTTCGGACCTACTCTCCCTTTGGAGAGTAATTCGGACCAAAAAACAGATCCAAAATCAAAATCAAAAGTTATAAAAAGAAGCATATGATAAAACCAACATGTTGAATTCTGTAAATATATCCTTGTCCTTCAAATGAAATTGATAATCAATGTATGAAATTCATCAGAAATTGTCATAACTTAATTTACGGACTTGATTCATACTTTAACGAATAAATGACCTCGACATGTAAATGAAACATACCGTATTCATACAAAGTAAAATCATTGCATTTGCTAAGTTAATATATTTGCTTCATTTTTAGACAAAAGATTACTTATGACACAGCTGACATCATGATTAACTTAAATGTGCCCTTGACCTTTGAACCACCTTGATCATCAAGGTCAAATTATTAAATCTAGTTTAAATAGTCATATCTAAATTATGAATAATGGTGGAAAAATGTGAAACATACTGGCTCTAAACATATTTTATAACAACATCAACATGTAGAATAATTTAAGAATAAATGACCTTTTGTTAAATATAAAATTCTAATGTTATACAAGACATTAAGCTTCCTTGAACAATTCTTCCTACAATATTTTTCCCTCAATATGTTTGACTTTCGAAATAAGAATACGTCGAGTATTGTCCCTACTTGGCAATGGCTTGTTTTGACAAAATTCAGAGAATATACAGTCATCAGATAATAGTACTAAAAAATACGAGTTAATACATAACAATTAACTGTACAAGATAATAGATTTTTAAAATTAGCATCAATTTAACAATGTCGGTTTTTTTTTCATCTGAAAACAAATCCAATATATATAATTCCCTAGCTGAACAAAAATAGAGAACAGCTTTATAACCATTTATGAACACAAATCCACGCAAGAAATTTGAAAAAGGTTATAAATCTGAATCTAATGAAATGTTTCTTTTTATAAAATTTACAAACAGTTAAGTTAGGTTGTTTCCATTATGTAGTGGTTTATTCTTGAAACATTTGAAACATAGAATATCTCTGCTATTTAAAAAACATGAATATTGCATGAAGGCAAATTTTACTTTGTGGCGCTTTTTTATTTTTGCATTTAATTGAATATGGACAAGGTAAAATCACAAACTTGAGTCAAATTGGAAGTTTTGCTGTACTTTAGCCACATTCATCCAATAAACACAGCTTAATCATTATCTAAATGATGACAGATTAATAACAATTAACTCAAAATCTATCAGCATTCATATATTATTAATAATCAGATCATCTCATTATTTTACAAAACATTTATTAAGGTGAAGACATAGTTCCTTTAAGAAAAGGTCATTCATGGATTTCATAATACTTAAATAATGGTTTAAGAGAATGTTAGAAACAAACAGAGAAAAAAAGTGAACTAAGTTTTGATAAATTATTTCTGCATTTGCATTTCTGAGGCTGAATAATACATTTGTCATACAATGGGGAATATTTTTTAATTCTATGGTACGGACAAATGATAACAACTCGTTTTCTTTGTGAAAGAACACCAAATAATGATTGTATATCTACATGAATTTACTTCACTCAAAAATATGTCAAAATAAGTTCTTTCAAATATAAGAAAGCTTTTTTTCAAATGTTGTCAAAATAGCTTTTTCAAATGTAAATCGTCTCAAAATGTTACCGCAGTTTAGTCAGATTAATATATTTTTAATGCTTTTTTATTATCATATGATCAAAATTAAATAATTGAAGAATGTATATTACTTTCGTCTTATAAAAAAGACTGAATGCTTAAACAATAAGAACAGTTTAAATAAAGCATTTTGATGAGGAAAACTATCAATACATTTTTATACAGCATGGAATTTATAATAATAATTATAAAATAATAATAATAATAATTAATAATAATAATAATAATAATTAATAATTATAATAATAATAAACAAGTATTAGTAAAGAAGAATGAAATAAAACACATTTACATATGTACAGATTAAATTGCACTAAAATATTATATAAATTGCCATTCAAATGAGATTTTGGAATATCTACCACTTTCATATTTACAGGTTTAAGACAAGTTCTTCGCATTTTTCTTGTTATAAGAAGAATAATTATCAATGTTTCCATTCGGTCTCTATGACTGAGCACTCACAAGTCTAGTTTCTCTTTTTTGTAGTAAAGGTCAATGCATATATGTTGTTTTCAGCCTTGCAAACTTTACAGGACAACATGATTTTTCACCTTTCATATGATACCTTTGTGTAAGTTTTATGACAGTTTATAAATGTATAGACAGTTGCTATTTTTTTCATTTAAACTGAAAGAACTGTAATACAGCTTCTTTGTTTCACTACACCAACATACATTATTTATAGTATTCAGATTCACCAACGCAACTTTTCCTGTAGAACAGTCTCCTGATATCTCTTCTATAACACTTCTCACCCAGTCATACACAAAAACAGTGCCATCACAAGACAGTGAAATTCCCCTAGGCTCACTCATACCACTATAACTACCTATCACATCACCTTGCCAGTTCATTCTTGTCACTGTCTTCATGCTCGAGTCAGATACATAGATAGAACTTCTGTTACATGTGACATAATCTGGACATTTAAAAATATCTTTTCCCTCAAATGTTATCAATATAGTGCCATTCATATCAAGGATTTGAAGTTTTGCAGGGACAAGGAATGACAAAACAAGTTTACCTTGGTAATAGCTTATACCACGACATTTTCCACCAACCTTCATAGTGTGCTTCTTTATGAGTTTGTTTGATGAGATTGATATAAATTGTATTGTTTGTACGATAGGAATTGTGACAGCAAGTTCAGTGCTGGTTATTGTGGTGATGTCCGATGGTTGACCATCTAGTTGTAGTCGATCAGACACAGATTGACTGCTGGTATCCACCATCTTTACAGCTTTGTTATTGCGGTCAGTGATGATAAGAAGATCAGGAGTCAGCAGAGTTATTCCTCTTATACAGCATCTATCTTTATCTTTTGATGTCTTCACACAGATTTCTCCCTCATGTGAAGATTGTCTAGACTTTATTTGTACAGGTTGACATTCTTTATTTAATGTTTTCTGTGTCAATGTACCTAATGACCTCTCTGTTTTGAGTTTGGTTAATATTGTTTTATTTGATTGGAAGTTGTGCTCTTTGATATCATAAGTTGAAAGATGTAGTGCAGTTTTCTCAACATCTTCCATCATTTTTTCTGCTTTCTTAAGCTCCATAAAGAGTGTTTTAGCTTGTGTTGATGTGTTGAGTTGTTTGATTTTTTCTGAAGATCTCTTCAAGATTTGTTAATTTCTTCACACGATGTTTCTACTGCTGTGATATTTGAGTTATTTTCTTGTTCTGTGACCTTGACTACTG